CAAGACTTGTGTGCGACGCCTTGCACCATTCCAGACCTCCGTTCTTTTTATGAGGTGGGAGTGCAGCAACTCGAAGATCCGTGTCACGCAGATCCAAGTCGGCACCGACGGCTTGGCTGTGGTCGTCTCAAAGAGCCTTGGCATGTGGATGGGATGAAATTGAAACGTCCGAAGTCCGAAGCCAACTGGAGCCTTCATTCCACTGGGCTCCGCCACCCAGGGGCGGCCGGGCACACGACTGCCTGACGTCGGCGGAGGTGGGCGGTCTGACCTTGGCCATGCTCCACTGGATGTTCACCGACTGGCGGCTCGGCCGCAGCGAGTGCGCCAAAGGCGCAATTGGGCCCCCCGCGCCCCGCCACCTTTCGCCACCCCCGCCACGTTTCGTACATCCCTGACCGCGGGCCTCGCAGGAGCAACGAGCAGCTGGAGAGCTACGGCGTGGATTTGGCCTCCGTGATCCCCAACGACGACGCGGACGGCATCAAGGACAGGGCCGGGGCGAGGGAACTTCAGCTCGCGTTTTGGCGGACCCGACGACGGGGGGTGCAGGAGTGGAGCGACCTGTCTTCGGCGTGCCCAGAGGCACGCTGCGTTTCTTGCGGGTCTGAGCTGCAGTTTCGCGGTGCGGCGGCGCTTGTGGCGAGGTGCCCATCAACCTCTACGGTCCAGGCTCCGACTCCGGGACCTACGACTTCTTCGCAGAGGCCACGCTCTGCGAGGACTGCTTCGGGGGGAGCCTCGGCCGCAGGAGCCGGAGCCGGGGCTTTCACTCTTCCTCTCAGTCTCCTTTTTTTTCTGGTCCTCTGACATCTCTGCTCCCGTTTCGGAGCCCTAAGGGAGGACGGCTACGACCCCGAAGGCTTCCCGTACTGCCCCTCGGACAAGCACAGCGCCCTGGAGCAGCTCAGCACGGAGCAGGAGATCGCCGACTTCATCCAGAGCCAGAGGCCTGTGAAATTAGTGGAGTAAGCCTGTGGAGTCTTGATGCAAGACAGCGCGTTGACTCGGGCCGCTGCTTCGGGGACGGGGACTTTGGTCACTTGCCTCCCTGCCTCTGGCAAGTTCTTACCTAGGGACTAGGGCCCAGGGCCTAGGGCCCAGGGAAGCAGCTGATCCTAAGATTCGCGCTTTGAAAACGGCCTCAGAGGCCTCAGAACTGCTACATGCACTCAGAGTCCGACTATCAGCTGCTGCAATGGCTTTCCGCCGATCCTTGGAAGTTTTTGGTGTAGTAAGCCTGATACACTCTTGAGTTCGAAAGTGCTCCGCGGGCCTTTGCCGTGTCAGGACATCGGTGGAATCGCTTATTTCGGCTACGCCTACTATGCCCAGTATGCCAACCAGCTGACCGTGGCCCGAATCGCCAGTGACAAATACAAAGGCGTCAAGGACTCCTCTTTGCTTGACTGCAGCAGACTATTCTGATAAATTACGACAAGCGTGGTTCACAATTCTGGCATTGCTGCGGTGTCTGACTGTGATGCGCTTGCTTGTTGTCCTGTCTGCAGCTTGTGCATGCCAGCCGTATCGTCAGCTCCCGACACCGTGCCGCGCGTGGTCTCCGAACGTAAGTTGCGTTGAGACGCGAAGGAAGCGGCTCTTTGTGTACTCGTGCCTGCTCGGACTGCTTTGCAGCAACGTGCAAGATAAAGAAAACATCTAACCGATTGTGGAGTAGCTCGCGAGTCGCGGATGGATGGTGCTTTGACGGTCTGGCACAGCTGCTGCGCCCCGTAGTGTTTTGTTGCATATCGATGGTTTCTGGGTCGCGTGCCAAACTGTGCAAGTCGATTTGCACGAGTTGTAGTCGGCAACACATGAAAGCCACACCGATGCCTCGTCGAATCAGCATCGGCCAAGAAAGAGAGGGCAACTCTGGGGCAGAGATATTGGCCTGTTGGCATGGGCGCATGTCGATGAACGAGTGTGTGCGAATTTTGTGACACCGTTCGTGCCACTGTGCAGGGCTGTGACAGCTGGCTCAAATTGAAGTGAGACCTTTTGCCTTGCATTTGTATGCTGCGAGATTCGAGCATAATGGATTGTGCGGTCAGGGAGGTTACAGCTCGCTTTCTTGAGGGGTTACTGCTGCTGAAAGCAGGACACGGCCGATGCGAAGGTCGAACCTTCGACCTACACCATAACTGACGGGTCGTACAGCATCTATAAGCGTCGCCTCTATATGAACGTCGACAACGAGGTCCCTTGGATATCCGCTTTTGTTTTTCATGCATCCCTGAGCTATGAGCTTTGAAAGGCCTGGGACCGAGTCCACCCTTTCCTGAGCTTCGGCTTCAGTTCTGCGGGTCAGTCCCTGGTGGCTTCCGTGGGCTACGTCGCTGTGAATGCCGCCTTGCTGGCCAAGATGAAGATCCGGAGTCTTGGAAGCGGAGTGTGGCGGGGCTCTTCAGGGGCTGAGTTCAGGTGCTCTTCCCGAGCTGTTAAGAAAACATGGCCGGCCCTGCGTTTCCAAAACCTGATGAAAGGATTGACGAGCGTGGAAACGAAGAGGCGGACTACGTATCCATAGCTCCCTCCAGCTGCTCTGTCGGAACAGAGTTAAGTGCGGTCCCGTACGTCAACCGGCACCTTGGCCGAAAGGAAGCTGTGCACGAGACGAAATGCTGCAAAGCAGAATCTGCATCAAGAGCCTCCGAAAGACGACCAATTTGACCCATGGACCCTAAACGCCACAAGAAAAGCCAAGAGAACAGCCTCTAGTTTAAGCCTATTATAAGCTGCCTTTCAGCCCTTGTTTTTCAGGTTTGGCAACAACAAGATCAACTACACGTGCAGCCTTTGCCCTTTGGGCAGATTCAAGTTCCTGGACACCCCGACGGCCTGCACGAGCTGCGAGTCGGGCCGCTACACGGGCCAGGCGCCTTCTCCTCGGCCCCTTTTTGGCCCTCTCCCCCCCGAGCCCTTTGGGGTTTAGGGTTTAGGGTTTAGGGTTTAGGGTTTAGGGGATCCAGGTGGGCCAGAGCTCCTGCAGCCTCTGCGACCTCGGCTACGAGGCCGTGAACGGAACCTCCTGCCGCGCCTGCAGTCCCGGGCCACCTGCCTATGAAGAGTTCTGGTACCTTCAAAAGGGGGCTGCGAGAGGTCGATACACGTTTTTTTGTTGAGTGACACGAATTCTAAATGCCTGTTCCTTTACTCTGATTTTCAATCAACTCTTCGTCTGTAGCACCTTCCGTTGGAGCTTTCTTACCATGCCAAAAAGAAAGCTGACTGAATGTGAAGCCGGCTTCACGCGATCGTGCAACAGGCGAGGAAAAGAGATGTCAACTAAATCAACTCGCGAACACTAGAGCTCCAAGCCTACAGCCCCTAAGGGCCTAAAGCGCCCTAAACCCCAGATGCCCAAATCCCTATGAAGCCTCACAGATTTGAGGTTCTACAAGGGCGAAGCCGCTGCGGCCTTCTGCTCGCCTTGCATTGCAGGGATGTTCAACAATCAGTCTGCGCAGGCCCACAAATTCTGAGCAACAGGTCTTTGAGAGCTTTTTGAGGGTGTTGAGGTTCATGGTTGATGGTTTTGCGTTTTGAGGGGTTTATGGTGATTTAGAGATTATCTTGTGAGGCTTCAAAATGCTTTGAATCAGCTTCGAACCTTGCTTTTTTGAGGCCAGCTGCAACTTCTGCAGCCCAGGGTCCTTCGCGCCCGAGGGCTCCACGCAGCCCCCTAGCTGGCATTGCTCTGCTTTTGGCTTTCGGGTCGCTTTATGGAAGCCTTGAGAGAAACCCTGTACAGGAATCCCGAGAAGGAGCCCTCAAAATCCCCTCAAAATAGCCGAGGTGTTTCGATTGTCCTTTCAACGAGATCGCTCCAGTTCCGGGGTCCGCCACCTGCAGCCGCTCTGCTTGCAAGACCGGGGGCGCCCTTACTGCAGCTCTTAAGTCCGGGAACCCGAAACCGTCAAAGCTTAGAATTTCCTTTGGGGCTTCCGTCCGAGCTGTGCGAGTCCCGTCCAGGCTACTGCGGAGAAGGCTTCACCACGACGCAGGTGGGGTTGCGGTGCCCTAAGCCATCCTTAAATCTGATGCACTCGGCCGCATCAACAGGCCTCCAAATCCACAGCCCTCAGAGATGGGCCTCACAGAGCAGCGCCTTTTGTCTCTTTGAGATGGTCTTCCCGGACTCCGACTCGTAACTGAACCCAAAAAGGCGCCTAAACTCCACAATACGATATCCTTGCAGACCGAGAAGCCTGCAGAACAACCGACATGCCCGAAACCCTAAAGTCCTAAAGATCCCTGAAGCCTCTCTTTCTAGATGGGCTCCACGGCCTGCCGCCGCTGCCGAGCCGGGAGCTATCGCTCTTCGGAGCCGCAGCGCTTTGGCACTCTGTTGGGGCAGACTTTGGCGTTTCTGAGGTTCTGAGGGTTGTACGGGTTGAACTAGGAGTTTGAAGTGGGGTTAAGGGGTTTGTTTGGGGGCCCTGCCACCACCTGTAATGAACTCTTGAACTTTGAATGCAGGTGTGTTGAGTGCCCGGACGGGAAGACGACTGCGTTCCAGGCCGCTGGGTTCTTCGCAGTGCTACGTAGGGTCAAAAGGCTTCGCCTCTGACGCCTGTACGTGTGGTGGTGTGGATCGTGCAGGGAGTGCTTCCTTGCTAGAGTCGAACGCAGCATACGCAGCACAGATGCCGGCCAGGGAGCCATCCTGATCGGTGACTGCATCTGCCCCGGTGGGCAATTTCTGCGAGATGGGCTGACAGGCCGGTGCTGAGCCGAGAGAGCGGACGAGGATGTTACTTTAATCCGAGGCTCCGAAGCCCACCCCACGAAACCCGCGGAACCCTGCAGCAACCTGCAAAGCATCAAAGAAAGCCCCCGATCCACAGTGCGCGCTGCAGAGCGAGGCGACAGCCTGGAGGCCATGGCCAGCGGCAGCTGCGCGAACTGCGGCCCGGTCTGACAGAGGGCAGTAGAGAAACTTCCATCATCTTCCACCTTCTTCCTTCTTCTGCTCGCTGCTTTTTTCGCTGTTTGCGAGTCGGTGCCCAGGTGGGGAGGGGCTGAACTGCGGTCTCGGCAGCGACCTGCGCATCTACGCAAGCCGCCGGGACGCAAGACGTCTTCTTAAAGGGTGCGACTCGCAGGGCCGACGCTGTAAGCTTGAGGCTTCCTGGCAGGGGAGGAGATGGCCCCGGAGGAGAGGGCACGACCCGTAGCCCTTGCTCGACCCGTACTGCAACGTCGTGAGAAGTGATGTTTCTCGTGTGAGCCGAGCCTCCTCGGCATGAGGCGCATCTCGGGTCGTTCCAGAGCCTGGCAGGAGCAGCTCTTCCCACTCCTGGAAGAGGGTTACTTCGCCACACCAGAGGAGCCGACGCAGGCGCTTTACGAGAGTGCGTTCGGATGCAAGCAGAGGCATTCGGCAGAGCAGGCCCTCCAAAGGAAGTGGTGGTCCCTTTCTTTTTTGTGTGTTTGAACGCCGCTTCCTTTCAAAACTCCAATCTCGCAGTCTCGCAGTCCTCTTGCGTCAGGTCTACAAGTGTGGGGCTGTGGCACACTGCCCAGGCACTCTGAAGCGTGCCGGAGAGAGAGAAGCGAGAGCTTGAACCCGCTTTTCACTCGGAGGTGGGCTGCCTGGAACCTGCGCTGAGGGGCGGATCGAGATCCCCTGTGGCCGCTGCCAGGCATCCTCCGACATGCGAAGAAGTTTCGGGCACCACTTCAGGGTCTTGTTTGGGGATGGAATAGGTTCAAGTTGAAGCCGTGACCGCCCCTTTAACTGACCTAATGCTCACCTCTTAAGTCTTAAGTCTTAGACGATGTGATGTCGATACGAGTCGACCGGTAGGTGGAGCCGTCAGAAGAGCAGCTCTTCAGGCGTCCCCCCCCTCTGCGAAGTGGCGGGTCAGACCATTTTCACCCGCGTCAATATGCGGTCTTTTTATCTTGCTTCTCTCGATCGGAAGTTGATTTCACGTTCTCGTTCTTGTGGCTTATTCTCAAGGTTAATGCAACGCCTCATTGCGCTCATCCCAATATCCTCTCTTCGAGTTTGCCCGCTCTCTCTCCGATAGCTCAGGGTCCGTCTTCGTGGTATCCTTGTGCAGCCGTAACAATTCCACGCTGCTCGTGTCCGAACCTGGATGCCGAAGCAGTTGGGCGTCGGCGTCGACCCCTCTTCAGATTCCTCCGGCGCTCAGCCACGTCGGCGACACAGGTGGCATCACCTCAACGGCCCTCCCACGAATGATTCGTGCCGTAGGCTCTGGGCACTCCAGGAGTTCCAGCGCCCGCTGTGCAGTGTGGGTCTGCCCTTGGGTGCGCCAGGGCGTGTCGGAGCGGAGAGCACGTCGAGTTGCGGCATCCAGGCATTGAATCTCGAGCCACATATCCACAAGGACGCCGCCTCTGAGCGGCAGCCGATCAGGGCAAAACAGGTCCGTGCTTTCAGGCAGACCCGGTCACAGCCTGTCACAGCCTCGGTGCAGTTTGCTCATCAAAGCAATACAGATTCAACGAGATCCTCCGTTGTGGCTTCTGAATGTCGCGCTCCCCTTTTCAGCATGAACTCTTCCCTCTTTCACCATGAACCCCTTCCACACCCCACCCAATCCCATCCAAGAACAGGCTTGGGCACATATGGCTCATCTTGGCCCCACGTTCTGCGTGCCCGTTCTTCCTGAGGCCGTTCAGTGGCAAGTCAGTTCCGAAAGTGGCGGAGGGCAAGGACAGGTCTCAGAACGTGGCAAAAACCAGCAGCGTTGAAAATCGAAAGTCCGTGTTGGGACCAAACTGAAGTTGTTCATCTTCCGCATGGAGGAGTGGCATCACGGCCACATGTGAATGGGTGGTGTCCACGGTTGTCTTCGACGGCAGCGCCGTGCGTCGTAGGAGGGCATGAATCAAATCTGCGGGGGCGACACGAAGCTACCTCGAAACTGCTCTTCGCCGCTTGCCTCCACCGCCTCCAATTGACGTGCACACGTGCCTGAGTCAAAATTCTGGGCCACTGGGCCCAGCAGCAGCATCAGCGTAAAAGCCGCCGCTGCTTATGAAAGCCCCAGAGCCGAGCCGTCGTTTTTTGATCGCTCGAGGTCGGCACGAAGTTCGAGGCTGGCGTTTGCCGGGAATGTAGCGGCATGGCTCCTCGACCTGAGATGTGGCAGATATACAGCAGCAACAAGAAAAAGGCGTAGTCGACACAATGAGAACACGAGCAGTATGTGTGACACATGCGCCATAATCATGCCAGCAATGCTTTTACAGTTGTCAGCATCATCATCACAATCCTTCCATCATCGTCATCACCACCATCATCGCCACCATCACCACCATCATCATCACTACCACCACCAGCAGCAGCACCACCACAGCAGCCTTAAACCCTGAACCCACATCCTTGGGGTCCCGAGGACAACTTGCTCTTCTTCTCGGGAGCCGTCGCCATGGGGGTTGCCATCCCTGTCTTCTACTACTTCATGAACTCTCCCGTGACTGCCAAGGCTGCGGCTGCGGTTCAAGGATGTGGGCTTGTTGACGGATGTCCCAGCTGCCTGATAGGCTTCCACGATGTTGAGCACGACGATGGCTTTCGGCATGACCCTGCCTCTTGGAGAAGCGATCAGACCGCTCTTGGTTGATGCCTCGGTAGTGGAAGCGCGTCGCCTTACATGTGCTCTAAGAATCCGCCTTCACCATCGAAACCTCAGCTATCAACTACACGCTAACCGTCCATCTGCGTCAACCCCTGCACCCGTACATGGGCTCGTGCCTGCATAGGGGGGACGGGTACAGCCACAGCCAAACAGTACGAAGGTACAGGCACATGGGCACACACGCAAACGCAGAAGCACGGATGTTGCAGGCAGGCGGACGCAAGTCTCCAGAGCAGTGTTGCATGTCGTGTCTCTGAGGACGCTGCTGCAGACCATCGGGCTGGTCGGCTTAGTCTCCCTGCGCCTCGGACCTTTGGGACATGGGATCGGCCCGGGCCCGGGCCCGGAGAAGGACACAGAAACAGCGATTTAGGAGCGATAGCGATAGGAGCGATAGCGAGCGCAAGATCGGGCGGAGCTCAGAGTCCCAGGAGCTGGCCTTCCTACATGCAGCCCCTCATGGACTTCGTTTCGATCTTCATGCTGGCCGTGGCCTCAGATCAGAGGGCCATCGCAGCAGAGGGTGTCTATTCTCCTGGTCAGCCCCTCTCCCACCTAAACGGCCCTGAACGGCCCTAAACGCCCCTAAACGGCCCTGACGGCTCCCGCCCTTAAAACCCCCCGAGGACCTGGAGTCCCTGAACTTCGACTGTGTTGGGGTGAGCTCGTCCATGCGCTATGCGGTCAGCCGCTCGCTGAGTAGAGTTCTGGGCCCCGTGGCGAGCTTCGCCCTCTTTGGGGGCGCTTTTTGTGGGGCGGACCCCCGAAAATCCAAAGCACTGCAGACGGCCGCACTGCAGTTCCGTCTGTCGTCCAGTCCGCTGAGCCCACTTGAAACATGACCTGGATGTCACACGTCTCCTCACGTCACAGGCCTGCTGCGTCTAAGAGCGGAACCGAATCCCAGAGGTGTGCTGTGCTGGCCGGCTGCCCTGGGATGGTTGGTGCTCTGTGGCCTCCTGTCCAAGTCTCCTGGCCTGGACAGCATCGGGAGGGTTTAGCCAGCGAACCGTTTGCATGCAGGAGTCGTAGGGCGACATTTGCATCCAAGTAGCGGAGACGTCAACCAGGTTGAGCAACAGGAGGGCAGGAGTATAAGTATTCCCGCCCAATCCCCCGACAAGGAACCTCGAGACGCAGTTAAACCCAAGGCTCCAAACCAATCCCCCGCCCTTTTCTCATCCAAGTTCTCCAGCCCAGGCTGGGTCCCCGGAAGTTTCACTTCGCCAGGGCCAAGGCGATCAGCACCTTGGGCCAGCTCTTCCAGCCACTTGGGCTCCGTTTCCAAAGAGGGCACCCGTGGCGTAACTCTGCCTACAGTACTCGGCCCCTTGCTTCAGGGGGGTTTTTTCTGTAGGTGATCACCCATGGGCAAATGGGCTGGAAGGGAAGATCCCCTAGCTGCACCCGTGCTCTCGTTTCCATCGAGGATCGGATTCACCATCATCGCGAAGACTGCGCTGATGCCGTTCCTTTGTCGAGCAGCGGTGTCTTTCGAAGTTGAGCCGTCGGCGGGCGTCTGTCTGCCTGTCGGCAGCCGAGGTTCATGTGCTACTCTCATCCCAACGGGCGGCTCAGCTTTAGGAGGGTCCCTGAGCTCGGGCCTCTGTCTCAGCTTTCCAACCCAGGAAGTCAAGTGTCCTCCGCTTCAGTGACGTGATCTGCTGGGAGGACGGTGAATCAGGAAAGCAAGCACCGTGTCACAGGCCCCAAGGCCCCAACCATCCTTGCTGCGAAGACGGACGCACTGGGACACATTCTACGGAGGATTTCCACGAGCTCCATCGACAAGCGCACATGTCCGCGGGGCTCGGACAAAAACCTGCACAAAGATTACACCATTTTGCTGTTTATCCGTTTCGTATCCTCACGGTGTTCAATTCTCAGAGAGGAGCAGACGGGACACACGACAATGGTCATCTTCGGTGTCATTATGACTGCGCACCTCGGACTCCGTCTGCCGTCAAAGCACGGAGCTTCGCACTCCAATCTGCTGCAGCCATGCCTAGCTCAAATCTTTCCTTGACCAGCAAAGCCGAAGCGGAGCCCCTTCGCCTTGCGTGGCCAAGGACCATGGTCCTTTACTGGTGCACGCTGCTTGGGGCCACCATCCAGGCGCCAAAGAGGCTCCGAGAGGGCGGTGGTAGCGGGGTTGGTTGGGGGGACTTGGACTTCGAGCTCTGCAGAAGCAGAAAGCTCGTAGCCCAAAGTCGAGGTCGGCGCGGGCGGACATGTTCTTCTTGCAGGCGACGCGGTTCTTGTTCTTTCGCTTCAGGACGGATGGGTGCAGACAGCGATAGATGTAGAAATGATAAGACGAACCACAGGTTGAAGGGTTTGCAGGATGGAAGCTTCGGGATGCAGCTCCGATTCGTTCCTTCTGAGACTGTTGCACATAGTGTTAGAGTTAGGGTGGAGGACGGGAGGGAGCCCTCCTCGCTTTGTTCGCAGGACCGACTATTGGTGGTATGGAACATGGTTCATTCTCCGAGGCGCCCCGACAGCGTTGTGAAGTTCTCTTTGGATCTGGTCCTTGTTACAAGAGCCATTTATTCTTCAGGTGATCTCGTAAGAGACGCTTGAGATGCTTCTGACAAGATTGACGGAATAGTAGTGATCGTTTTGGGAGTGGTTCCGACGGCGCCGCTCCGACTCCATCAAGACTCCAGCCCTTCCATCCCACTGGTCACTGGTCTAAAGAGACCGTTGGTTCAGAAATGCCTGTGGGCTTAAGGCAACCAGAACGAACAGCATTCTGACGAATCTGCATCAAAAATGAAATTGTGTGTGTGTGTGTGCGCAGCATACAAGTTCCTGCCAGGTCCCCTCTTGTCCTTGCCGGTTGTGATCTTTACCGACTTGCCCCAGGCTCTCTGATTTCGCAGGGCATGTGTTGCTTGCTTAGTGGGGGCTTGATGGCTTTTGTGCCGAGCTTGCGAATGCTTCTTGGGACCTGGGACGGGATGGAAGCAGCCATTTGCTTGGCCAGGTGCAGCTGTTCGTCATGACAGCCGTCGTGGCTGCTTGGTCGGAGGGTGGGGAGGGGCGGAAACTGTTTGGGCGAGTTCTTCCTCGCCTGCGGCCTTGCAGCCAAGAAGGCCTGTCCTGAGTCGCCATTTTGAGACAGCACGTCAGGCCTCGGACCCCGAAGCCCGAAACCAGACCCTCAACTCCCCAAGAGTTTCCGAACGCCGGCCGAGGAAACATACATGGTACTGCAGCTCATGACGTGGCCCTGGAAGACGCCGTTGATCAACCTGGCAGATGGGGCCATGAGCATGATGCCCACGGCTCAGTGGGCCCCGAAGCCCAAAAGCTTCTCTGGACTTGAACCACATGATCTGAGCCCGATAACACTGCGAAGCTTAAAAGAGGATGATCCTGCTGCTCTCCATCGGGGCGGCCTTCCTGGTTTCCAAGCCGCAAAAGTTCGGGAGAAACCCCGACGAACACCATCGGCCATCGGGGATCATCGGGGAGTTTCGGGACTAAAGGGACTCGACTTGAAGACGCTTGGAAGAGAGGGACTCTAAGTTAGAGTCCTCCCCAGTTGACCTACTGGAGCTCGGCCCAGGATGCCTTGGAGGGGGAGGTGAAGGCCACCTACTCCAGCTTGGCCGTGGGCGCCGCCTGGTGGCAGGAGGACTTGAGCGACCTGACGGTAAGCCCGTGCGGTGTATGCGTGCAAAAAATATCCCCAAACCTAAACCTCCTAAACCCCTGCCCTTGCCCTGAAGCCTCAACGCTCAGATTGCAGATTTCGAGGTTCTTGGCATTCTCTACGCCATTGCCTTCTTGTTGCTGTGCTCAGGCTGAAGCCAGGAAAGGAAACGCTGGAAGACGAGCTCCAAGAGCCCAAAAGGTTCAGGGGTTGTTTGGTTTCAGGGACTGAAGGTTTCTTGATTTTGGGATTTTGGGGTATTGGTATTGGGGTTTGATTTCAGGGTTTGAGGTGTTTGGAGTTCGGAGATCTATGAGGGCTTTCAGAAGCTTTTAAGGATCACGGTTAGGAGTTTCGGGGTTTGGGCTTTTGGGACTAAGGTCTTTGGTCGTTGTGGCCCTGGTCCACACGACCGCCATGGGCTCCGCCAACGAGCTTCCGATTCTGCTCCTTGCGGAAAGCAATTTGGGGTTTGTTGACATTTCGGAGGATGGGATTGGATTTGTGGCCTTGCTCAGGAGGCTCCGTGGCAGTTCAGAACTAATCGGAACAGGGTGTTGGGGTATACGATACTATAATTATAAGAAGGAACCACCATAGTGTTGGTAATTGTTTAGGCCCCTATATTAATCTATACTCAAAGAACCCTAAACCCTACACCCTACGTAGCCGAACGTAGGTCTCAAAATAATTCGAACAGGGTTTTGGGCTCGTTTAGAGTTCTGCACGGAAGTGTGCCGAGGACGCTGGGGTACCCTCCAAGCAACGACACGCTGCGACAGGCGGGCAGCTCTGACAAAGAATTCGGTAAGCGTTGGCCTGACTGGGACAGCAGCTGTCACCGTTGCGGTTTTGTTAGGATCCCGTGCCTTGTGTATGTAGATCCCAGACCTACGAGAGGCTTTGGATGCGCTGCATACGACATACGAGGTGGGTCAAGCTTTCGAAGGGCCTTCTGAAGGGCAGCGCATGGACCCATGGTTTGCTTGTTCCCAAAGTGTACCGGAGCAGCAGGGTCAGCTTGCACACCCTTCGGGTCGCACTGCATGATTTTGACGGTGTTCTTAGGGTGTCTCTTTTGTCGCAATTCGCAAGGAGGCCGACGCCAGCACCATAGAGAAAGCCATCGACGCCGCTTAGCAAAGCACAGGAGCTCAGTTCTCAGAGTTCTCTCCCCTTTTGCGACTCAGGAGCTCAACGTCTACGACAGGCAAGGGCACTCTAAGGGGCTGCAGGGCCTTGCAGGGTTCTTCTTTCGGACCGTGGAGCCCTAGGCGGATGCTCGCGACGGTCCTAACCACCTTGGGGCCCTACTTCACGAAGCTTGGGCAGAGTGAACGGTTCCTTTGGGGGGGCCAAATGCGCATGAAGCAGGGATACAGACATTACAGACTGCGTAAAAGCTGAGGAATGACCACAGAATGCGACTCATGAATCGGCTCAGCGTCACCCGGCAAGCTTTGTCTGCTTTTCTGGGGATGTAGCACGTGTGCACCGTGCCAGGGTGTCCTTGTCGTGGGGTTTCTCCGAGGTCAGCACCGTCTCCTTGCCGTCTGTGAAGGCGCTGCGGGACATCGGACACCACTTGGCTTTAAAGTCAAGTCGTGATATGTCGTGACAGACAGGTATTGTCGCTCTTGAGAAGTGTGGTGTGGGTCTCGCGGTTCCCGGCAGCCGCAGTGAACCCGGATTGTCCCGTTTGCACTTTCCGGGCGCCAGAACCGAAGCCACCCATGTCACCTGTGAATAACACCGCCCCATTCAAGCAGCAAGGGTTGAAAAGAATGCAGACTATGCATTCTATCTTGCAGCAGGGAAGGTGCACAGCATCCCTAGCGTCAATTCTCCTGAACTTCATGACTCCGTGTCGAAGCAGCCTTCCCGCTCCTGTGCCCCCTATTTGGATGCAACGGGCCGAATGCCGTAGCGTTTACGCGAGTGCTCACAATCCGTGCGCGTGGAGGCAGAGGTTCTGAGCCCAGAGCAGATGGAAGAGGACACGAGCCGTGTAAGTTTAGCCGGCTGGAAAGCGTAGTCCTGCAGTCCGGCCTTGTTCCAGGACCCCAAAAGCTTGGTCAACGGAGAGAAGGGGAAGGAGCAGGAAGAGAAAACGACTGGTGCGGAAGGTGGAGAGAACCATGTGCAGCTCTCAGAGACTTGATAGCCATTAGCGATGGACAAGTCGCACCCTAAGGATGGCACCCTGAGCCATGTGTCTGTCGGTGCTATACAGGATTGAAGATGTAGGTAGTGCACTTAGGGTCCTGTTTCAGCGTGACGCATTCTTCGATTCAAGTTCCAAGGCGGGACCTATTTGCTTTGGAGCTTTCGGAGTAGATTGGGGAGACCCTCGACGAGAGCCAGGGTTGCGGCAGATGCGTAATGTTCTCATCCCAGGACACGCGCAACAAGCTCCGCTTCGCTGAGGAGCTGCAGTTTGCAGATGTTTGAAGACGGGCAGCAAAGGCCCGTTTGCACATGTTCAGACCATGCTTCTCTTGCCGGTCTTCAACCGTCGTGCTCTTGACCCAGCAGCCCCGCCGATAGCTGGGGTTGGAAGTCGTAGTGCCTGCTTTTCCGGACACCGCGAGACCTTGTCGGGATCTCGGGTGCCCTCTCCAGGCGTTTTACTCCGAGGGGTGCGGTTGGAACCTGGCCGAGCCTTCACACTCTTTGGCTGAGCCCCGAAGGGGCGGAAAAAGTCAATGAGAAAGAGGCCAGGCCCGTCGCAAACGCCCGCGGTAACGTTTCATTCTTTGCAGCGGCTTTCTTTCCTTCTCGGCGTCTTCGTCGCCTCAAGATCAGTCTGAGTTCGATGAACGGCAGAAGCGCCGGAGACCAGAAGACTCTGCTCAGTCTGCTCTAAATTTTCATCTCAGTCAAACTCGTTCCCGTTTGCACGGCAGCGTCTTTGGCCGCTCAGGGTTAGGATGCCGATGCCAGATGCAGGTTACAGAGAATCGGGTGAGGGTTTTACGGGATGTGAGAATGCTGCAGACTTGAGGGAGCGGTGAAACTCAAAGCTAGTTGGCGCTTGCAAGCATCCTTCATGACAGGAGATTGGGCAGAAACTTTCCCCGGTCAACCGCTGCAGTGCAAGGGGAAACTCTCAGTGCAGCTGGCATTGAGAAACTCTCGCGAAAGACTCGACTCCAAACCCAAATGGAGAGACTTGGTTTAACTGGGTCTCTCTGTAGTCAAAAGCCAAGGGAGGCGAAGACAGTTGAGGCCACGCCGAAAGCGAAAGGATCCGACTCGACTCCGCAACAGCAGCTCAATATCTTCATGCTGAAAGATGCCAGCCAAGTCTTAGTGCTCTCTCCCATCCAAGCTTTCGAGCACTTTCGAGCCTCCGGTACCGCTTCCTTGCTGTGGCCATAGGGCCACGCCTTTTTCGGATAGAATTTGGTGAGCATCGGGGCAGGCAGCGTAGAGAACCTGCTTGGTTGCAGCTGTCTCGTCCCGGCTCCGACTCCGGCATCCCAACCCTTTGGGGATGCCGCCTTGACTCTGCAGCCTTTGCAGCTTGTGCTGTGTTGGAAGGACTTCGTTGTCGCTTCCGGAGCCGACAGGGTCACAGCATTCTGGCTTCAGGGATGGTTCGGGAAAGGGTTAAGGCTTTAAGCCGGGGTCGCGAGCTCGCAAAGGATTTTCAGGCTCGCGCTGTTGGCTCCGGGAACCCGTCTGCACCGCATTTCAGCGAGCTGGATGCGTTGGACTCGTGGCCAGCTCGCTGCCTGAGAGGATGCTGTGAGGAATTTGTGGTGCCCGGGCGGAAGCAGAAAATCGACCTTCAGCCTGAGTCCAGGAGCTTATAATGGCTGGGTGAGTCTGCGGACAGGATATTGGAATTGCTGAAACTCAGACATCGGGGGTGCTCCTGCGTTAGGCGAGGCGTGGGTGTGACTCGTTGTGACTGGTACTGTAGTGACTCTGGCTCAGGCGCCGACTAGGCATCCGAAGCACGGGAGGCGACTTCACCTGACATCACTACATTGGCACTTCCAACTCACTTAGCAACTCACTTAGCCGATGTACCGTCCATGGTCTATACCTCGTCGTAACCCTATTATGGCCTCGCGGCTCTGCGGCGATGAGCACTCCAGGCGTGGTGGTGCGCTGCGATCCCGCGCTCACACTCTTGGGCTGCTTCTTTCTTATCTAGTTGGGGATGAGGCGAACGTAGATTTCCTTGCTTTTGGAATTCGAGTCTGCAGGCTCGCTGCCGGCCAAGAAGACGATCCTCGGGGCAGTCTGTGTGGCGCGGCACAGACAAGATCTTTTTTTTGGCGGGGCTTTGCGGAATTCGATGATGTTCCCTTGGACTCAGGGCCCTGTGGAAGTTCCCACGAGCGGTGGCCCTGAAGGTGTTTTGGGGTTCAGGGCCTTAAGGGCGTACAAGCTCGATTTGGCGCGTCAACAGACTTCGTGGTTCAGGGCATCCCAGGGAAGCGTTTTGAGCTGTTGCCAGAGGACCTGGGAACCAGTTCTGGACGTCGAAACCCGGCGTGCGGCGACCTACAAATTAATGCAACAGGGCAGTGTAGGCCTACTGTAGCGGCTTGTGCACAGCGGCGCATGTGCAAGGTCTGCCATGTGCGAGAGCCTCAGCGATGGCGATGGCGAGAAGGGACCTGGAGACCGAGAGCCTTTCTGCGCTTAGGCAAAAGCCCGTACCACTGACCGCTAGGGCCGGGCTGTCACGAAGTCCCTTAGCCCAGGCCAGGCGTGGCGAAGCTGTAGCGACGCTTCTTTTGGAGCCCTTTCCTCGGCGCTTTCCGAGGCCATGGAAGCCCACTTCGACCGGCCTCGCTCGGACCGAGGTGCCGGCCAGCAGGCCTGGCTCTCACATGACACGTACAGAGAAGTATGCGGAAGTACGTGGAACCTTGTGCGCCCTTTCGTGTGGCGTAGGTTCGGCAACGGATGCCGTGCACTCAGCTGACGTGTAGAGACCAAAAGCGCTCTCTCGAGCGCGTCCTCGGCATGACGTGGGCTTCGCCACGTGTGCAGGTCCGGAGCGCAACAGCCAGGTTCCAAGAGTCCAAGAGTGCAGGCTGCAACCACTTTTCAGCCGTGTCCACTGGGCCACCATACACCGAGGATCATGGCTTGGGCTCGGAACTCGAGTTGCGTGGCAATCTGTCATGTTTGAGAGAAGAGTTCAGCGCAGAATCCCTGAAAGGTCGAGCGCGAGCTGCAGGTTCTGGGTCAAAATGGCTCGGTCAGTGCCACGGAGATCCTTTCAATGCGATGTCGCAGTGTTCCAACGCAACACACTCTGAGGTACCGCAGCAAGATCGCGTGCGCGTCTTCAAGGAAGCTTTCGGCACGACCCTCGGACGCGGAGTCTGTGGCTCTTGCCACGCCAGACCTCACAGGCCGTGCAGGTTTCGAGTTGGTGGCTCTCCGTCTGAGCATGGCGAAACGAAAGCAACGGTATGAAAGCTCTTGAACTCGAAGGGCTGAGAACTGTGCATTCTCCATCAGCCCCTTCATGTCGGGTGAGAACTTGAACGGGAGCCGCTGCAGCAAAGAGCGCACCCCGTCGCGACGGGCGCTGCTTGATCTCTTTCCCCATGCACCGGCCGTGGAACCACTCGGAGTTTGAAGTCAGTGAAACTCTGTCGCATAAGACATTCCACCTCGCTCATCAGCCCGACCGTCAGGCCTGACTTCGCTTCGTTCTTCTGCATTGGTTGGCACAAGAGCTGTGTGGCCTTGCACCTCCCTGAAGGGCCAACATGCTGTTCTACCACCATTTTGCAATGTTGAAGAAGGTTCAGCTTCACAAGCGGCATCGAGTCCGTGCCGAGGATGCACCTGCCACAGAGTGGGGACGCCGTTACACCCATCGTTGCAGACATGCCGGAGCAAGTCCTCGCAGCCATGTGGTTCGGCGCGGCCGCGTGCGGGCGACAGCTAGCAGCCCCAACCAGCGTTCGCGACGACGTCGATGCGCCGGAACACCCGTGTTCATGTCAGCCAGGCGAACGTTACGGGCTACCCGCGCACCGGTTCGTTGGCACGCCCTCGCCACCGCCTGGGCTGCACTGCGACACTCCCGCCTGGGATTCGCTCATGCAGCCGGCCCGTGCGCAAAAAACGTGCGTTTGGAGACTTTTTGCGAGGCTGGCGGCATCGCGCGACCTGGCCGGTGACGAGCGCACATTTCACATTGATGCCGCATCTCGAGCCCTGCTGCTGTCGCAGGCCGAGATCACCAAGTCAAGGCAGCGTTCGTCGTCTGGGGCCACGTCGGGAGCGGTGGTGTTGGAAAGCCATTGCTGAGGACTACCTGGCCCTCTGCCCCAACGGCTTCGTGCGCGACCCTCACCCAGGCCCGTTCGACGTGCGCCGGGCAAAGAGCCCAGTGCGGGAAGCGTGGTCGCTGAACACGTCGACGAGCCCACCGCATCCGGGAGAGGGGTCGCACCGATTTAGACGGAGGCGGAGTGGGAAAGCAAGCTGCATTGCTCGCGGACACTGTGGTAGCTGGCTCGGCTGGGATGGCGGGGTTAACCAGGCACCCGCGTGCGGCCCAGCATGAAAGAGCAAGAGCGCGCAGGCGCTGGGTGGCATGCCTGGTCGCGACGTGCGCTCGGAAAAGTGTAGGTTGCGAGCTCGCGACGCATTGGTGCGAATGCTCGCCGGGAAGAGCACTCCTGCCAGCCTTCAGCGCGACGGAGGTTGTGCCACCGCTGTCGCTTCTGCGTCCCTTCTCTCCAGTTGGCGGGCGCATGCCTCGGCTGAAGCCGGGGCGCGCCCATGCCGCCCAGTATGCAGCCAGCGCGGTCCGAACCGCGCTGGCTAGGCCTAGTCCGCCAAGCGACGCTGGGAGAGTCGCCAGGTTCCGCGCGGTCTGCCTCGCCACATGCGACTCCGCGGAGGCAGGCATGCATGGCATGCAAGGTCTCCCATACCACGTCGTCATGGGTTTGGGCGCCGCCGGCTATGTCCAGCGGCGGCACCGTGCAGAGCGCGTGGTTGGCCCGCATGGCCTGTGGCGAGGCACACAGCGACGAGCCACGCACATTGCAAGTCAGGGAAGCGAGGCAGTTGGCTCAAAAGCTCTCGTTCAGTGCGCATCTGGCGATCCGCCCATGATGCAATGAAATGTAGGTGGCCAATGAGTCTGCAATGGTGTGCCCAAAACCTTCAGGCCGCGCTCCAATATGGCTTGCGATAAGTCTGGGGCCGTTTGCGCCGAGCGCATCCCTGCTGGACGTCGACGCGCGCATTGGCCCCGCGACGTTTTGTGAAAGCACGGGAGGCAGTTCGCGACCGCTTCGATGCGTCGCTCGTTTGCGACTCAGGCTCAACATTTTTTCTCTTTCACACACACTTTTTCACATCCGGTACGAGCGCGATCCCAGTACAACCGAAATCTACATTGCGATACATTGCGCTTACCCTAGCAAGAGTAAACCACGCAACAACGAAAAACTGTAATTGAAGAGGGGCGGTGTGTGGGCATCGGTGTTACAGGGCACTACCGGAGTCGTGACGCGTGTCAGTAAATCACTGCAGACACTCGGGGGAACGAAAACCACAAGTCGTAACATTCCGCGGTCTGAGGGCCAGACTATTCCCCTTGCCAAAGCCCGTGACCATGAGAGCACTATATACATCCCACACCCGACAGTGACACAGCTAAGTCGCATCATATTTTTTGAATCCCAGCATATCCCAGCCCACACTCGGGTTTTGCATTTTCGTGCTAGCCGATCGTTCCATTGGGAATCGAGCGGCTTCATTGGGACTGGCTGTTTTTGATGTGTTGTACTGATCTGTGTCTCGAGTGGTTGACTCGCTCGTGTGTTTCTCGAGCTAGTGCTGGCAAAAGCGTTTACAAGGTTTTTTTTAATTTTTTTTTGGCGCATCTTTTTCCGTCTGGTCCGCGCGCGCGTCGGCGGAACTAGCTGACAGCTACACGACGCCTACGGCGGCTCCATCAGGAGCTCTCTGCACCGTCGCTGGCGTCGCAGGGCCGAATCGGCAGCTCCAGCAGGCTCTGCACGTGCGCGCGCACGGGGGCGAGCGCTGCGAGATGCTGCCAGTGCGGTCCAGCGGCGCGTGAGCGCGGCGATTGCTGCGGCTCGCGCCCACGGGACCCCATCCAGGTGCAAGCCGGCGGAGCAGCGCAACCGCTTGCCGATGGAAGCGCCCGCCAACCTCCAGGCCGAACACCACACGGCATCGTGCTTGCCCGCTTGGCTGGAGTTCGGGGTAAGTGCGGAACTTGTGCGCTTGGGCTTGTTGCAGGGCCAGTTCTGGTCGCGCATGAGCCCCCGCGCGTCGGAGTCCGTTTCGCCGGACTGGGCTGACCAGCGTCGTGGCGATCGCGATTTGCGCGCCTTTCCAACGTATTCCAACGTGGGGGGCCGTTCGCAACGACCTCGATTCTCCGGCCGCATTCAGGTTGCGCGACTCCGCCTTCCAGCGGCCCTGCTCGTCACCCAGGCTGTCGAATGCTGTCGAGGGGTCCTCTGCTGCGACATCGCTTGGGCCGCAGCGGGTGTGCGAGCCGGAGCCTGCGCGAAGCACGACGAAGTCCGGTCCGGTGGGCATTTCGGTGAGTGCACAACCCCCTCCTTCGCCACTCCTGGGACAGCAGCAGCGCTCGGGATGCGGTATCACGGTCAGCGAAAAGCATCTCGAAGGCGCGCTTGTCAAGAGGGAAGTGTCTTCCTCCCCTGCCGGGTTCGCTCCGTCCGTACCGTCCAGCAGGTTGGCCCAACTTGGTGCTTGGTCGCAGTCTCAGGGACTGTGGGCCGTTTGCCTGCGCTCTCTCGCCGAGGAGAGACCCAGACCTCCCACTCGCAAGGGCAGCTGCGCTCGCCGTTCACTCAGAGAGGGGAGGTCGCGACGTTCAGAAAAATGGCGAAGCATCGCAAACATGTAGGCAACCGGTGTAATCCACTACAGTAAAAGGGGGCCGGGGGGCGGGAGGGGCTGCGGGTGTGGGGGGGGGAGGGGGGTTCAGTTGGGGATGAAGTGGAGTGGAGCGGGGTGGAACGATGGGAGCGGAGAAGGGGGAAGGAAGGTGGAGGGTGTAGATGAAGGGTAGGGAAGTTTTGATATGTTGTGCTGCCGCTTGTGTCTCGAGTTGGTGCTTGCGAAATCCAGCGTCTACATGGGGAATGGCTGGTTTTGATTTGCGTGCTATGACTGGTGGGTCTCGAACGGGTGCTTGTAGAATCGCATCGATCCAGCGTGCACTTGCCGGTCAAACACACAATGCCACGTGTTGGTGCTTGCGACATCCAAGGTCTACATGGGGAATGGCTGGCTCTGATGTGCCGTGATACGACTGGTGTGTCTCGAACGGGTGCTTGTGCAACTGAAGGGCTCTTGGTTTCCAAAGCCACACAAGGGGTCTCGTTCAGGGTATCCTTCTAATTACGTTCAAGGTATCGTTACCACTTCCAGAACCAGCACCAGCTCCGATGGCTTGTCGTCCTGCACGGTGATGCCAAGGATGTGTGTCGTGAGCGGCTGCTTCGGAAATCGAGCGTCTACTTGGGGAATGGTTGGTTTTGCAGTGCAGTGATTCCATTGCTCTTTGTTTTGATTGGATGCCTGTGAAATCGAGCGTCTACATGGGGAATGGCTATTTGTGACACCCACAACCGGGCCATGGGTTCACATGGTGTCTCGCTATTGCTGATGTGACGAAACGAAGTGATGTGAGTGCAAACTAGGCACGAATACCTGCCGCGGCAGTTTTGGGATGACCTTTACGTTGTGACAGTTCCGGAGCGGCGGCACCGCTGTTTTGCGTTGTCACCGGCGAGGTCGAGCGAGGAGCCGGTGTCGAGGCGAACCTGGGCAAGACACGAGTCTACAGCGCAGCAGGTGGGGACGCATTGACTACGCAGCTGGGCACGATGCGGCGGTAGCCGCATGTCTGGCCACCCTCTTTGGCTCTGCGGACTGCCCGCTGCCA